AGATCCACATGCCCCCCCCCCCAATAGCCAGCAATCCAAAACAGTCCAGTGGAGCCTGAGCGGCGGGTGTTGCCTTCAACACACTTCCAGTGATGTCAGGGTGTGTGGCATATGCAAATGAGTTACGCTAATGAGTTATGCTAATGAGCTCTTGCACCTCTTTTTCTACGAAATGACCCCTGTAATTTCACATTTTTGTTTTACAGCGACTGAAGAAGAACTCTTGTGGAAACAAGGGGACTATAGGACCTTGTATCGCTGTTACTGTTATCTCTGAATGTAATTACTCCGCACCGTTATTGTTTTTCCTGAATATTATTGTTCCCAATTTTATAAGATGTCTCAGCTATTGGTTAGTCTGATTGTTTAACAACACCCTATTTGGTCAGTTGCCAACTGGACTTTTGTAAATGTTGCGAGTTCATTGGTACTGATGTTGTGTTTGGCTACAGTCAGGGGTCGTTTCGCAAGAGAAAGTGCAGTTGCAAAGAGCAGAGGAGGAAATGAGGTGGAACGATGGGCAGCCCCCTTTCAAACATTCATTCCCTTTGGAATTCTCCCCTATGTAAAAGGCTCCCTTGCAAACAGTAAATTGGCACAGGTAGCAAAGAGGGGGTAGTGTCTCGCCCTTGGCCATGCTAGCTTTCTGTGTGCCTGAGGCTTTTTGTATATGAAGGAACATTCAAGGCTGGAATTCACCTCCCACATTCAGCGGCGGTTCATCATCTATTCTACCACCTCCGGGTTCTGCTACTTGTTCTCCTATGTAACACATCGGGAGACCAAGTCCTATGAGGAAGGGTTGAAGGAGCTGGGTATGTTTAGCCTGGAGAGGAGACGACTGAGAGGGGATATGAGAACCATCTTCAAGTCATCGCAGGGCTGTCGTATAGAGGGTGGTGCGCAGAGGTCGATTCGGGGGGAATCGCGGGGGATCGCAGTTCCCCCGGGTGAGGTGCGGGGGGGGCAGGGCACACAACGAAGCCCCGCCCCCTGCTTCCGGCCGCCCCACTTCCAGCCCTCATTCAGCCAGGAGGAGGCAGGAGAAGAGGGAGGGTAAGTTGCTTCCTCCCCGCCTCACCCCACTCCTGCCTGCCTGGGGCCAGGGAGGGCCTTGGAGGGGATTCCTCGCA